AGAATGTTGCTTGGGAACGACACGAGCGCTTAGCAATTTTTTTTTTATAAATCGCCGAGTAAATCGCAGTTTGACAAATTTTCAGTTTTTTTTCATGCTGACACATTAACATCCCAATTAACTATTGCCTGTCGTTTTTGACGTTCCAGTGGTCTCGCAGTACTATGACGTTGACGTGAACAAAGAGTACGCGATACGTGGCAACGCCGCAATCCTCAAGTGCCAAATCCCATCGTTCGTTGCGGATTTCGTGAGCGTCATCTCTTGGCAAACGGACCAAAATGAGAACTTTTATCCGGGAGCTCCGGACGGTAAAAAAAAATCACATCCGGATTAGGATTTCGCACCGTGTAATATAGTCCTTGGAATGTGAAAAATATCGGTGAGGAAATTCACTGTAGCTCTCGCTGTAGCTACTAATCGCGAATCTCAAATCCTTTCGAATCATTGAAGGTTTTCTTGGTCAACCTGTTGATATTTAGTGATATCATGATAATTCTTATGATTTCATAGAAATTTCAATGATTTTATAGAAATTCTCATGATTTCATCGGACTATCCATTGATTCTGCTCGATTTCCTGAACAATCCAGTAATTTCCTGGAATTCGCCATGGTTTTCTGATAGGTCCTAGTACCACCAATAGCCTTCCGACTCAGATTTCATTGACCCCTCTATTTCTATTGATTTCTTATGATTCACTATGATTTCATCGTACTCACCTCTTGATTTCATGTAATGTCTCCTGATTTTCTGAACTGTTAATCGATGTTTCTTGGAATTCATACCGGAGTGCTCCTATTGGCAAAAAAGCGAAAAGCTGACTTTGAGTGCCGATATCTCAAAAACTATCTGTCCTACGGGGCTAATTATGGTTTCATTCGATTCAGCAGGTCATTTTCTACAGGAAAAACGAAAATTCGCGTGAATTTTTGCCGTTTTCTGGCACTTTCGGCCGTCCGAAGATGGCTCGGTGACTATATCGTATGGAAGTCTTAGGTGGGAAAATGAAAATTTTTATTTGGCCTATTAAAAGTCTGAAAAAATTCACATAGACCAATTCGATATCGAAATGATCGAATCTGTGGTGAAAATCGGGAAATTTTAAAAAATGGAGACGTAGTAGTACTAGTAGTCTACAGGAATGCTCCTATTGGCAAAAAAAGCGAAAAGCTGACTCTGAGTGCCGATATCTCAAAAACTATCTGTCTTACGGTGCTGATTATGGTCTCATTCGATCAGCAGGTCATTTTCTACTGGAAAAACGAAAATACGCGTGAGTTTTTGTCGTTTTCTGGCACTTTCGGCCGTCCGAAGATGGCTCGGTGACTATATCGTATGGAATTCTTAGGTGGGAAAATGAAAATTTTTATTTGGCCTATTAAAAATCTGAAAAAAATCACATAGACTAATTCGATATCGAAATGAACGAATCTGTGGTGAAAATCGGGAAATTTTGAGAAATGGAGACGTAGTAGTCTACCGGAATGCTTCTATCGGCAGAAAAAGCGAAAAGCTGACTTTGAGTGCCGATATCTCAAAAACTATCTGTTTCACGGTGCTGATTATGGTCTCATTCGATTCACCAGGTCATTTTCTACTGGAAAAACGAAAATTCGCGTGAATTTTTGCCGTTTTCTGGCACTTTCGGCCGTCCGAAGATGGCTCGGTGACTATATCGTATGGAATTCTTAGGTGGGAAAATGAAAATTTTTATTTGGCCTATTAAAAATCTGAAAAAAATCACATAGACTAATTCGATATCGAAATGAACGAATCTGTGGTGAAAATCGGGAAATTTTGAGAAATGGAGACGTAGTAGTCTACCGGAATGCTTCTATCGGCAGAAAAAGCGAAAAGCTGACTTTGAGTGCCGATATCTCAAAAACTATCTGTTTCACGGTGCTGATTATGGTCTCATTCGATTCACCAGGTCATTTTCTACTGGAAAAACGAAAATTCGCGTGAATTTTTGCCGTTTTCTGGCACTTTCGGCCGTCCGAAGATGGCTCGGTGACTATATCGTATGGAATTCTTAGGTGGGAAAATGAAAATTTTTATTTGGCCTATTAAAAATGTGAAAAAATTCACATAGACTAATTCGATATCGAAATGAACGAATCTGTGGTGAAAATCGGGAAATTTTGAGAAATGGAGACGTAGTAGTCTACCGGAATGCTTCTATTGGCAGAAAAAGCGAAAAGCTGACTTTGAGCGCCGATATCTCAAAAACTATCTGTCCTACGGGGCTGATTATAGTCTCATTGATTCAGCAGGTCATTTTCTACTGGAAATAAGAAAATTCGCGTGAATTTTTGCCGTTTTCTGGCACTTTCGGCCGTCCGAAGATGGCTCGGTGACTATATCGTATGGAATTCTTAAGTGGGAAAATGAAAATTTTTATTTGGCCTATTAAAAATCTGAAAAAATTCACATAGACTAATTCGATATCGAAATGAACGAATCTGTGGTGAAAATCGGGAAATTTTGAGAAATGGAGACGTAGTAGTCTACCGGAATGCTTCTATTGGCAGAAAAAGCGAAAAGCTGACTTTGAGCGCCGATATCTCAAAAACTATCTGTCCTACGGGGCTGATTATAGTCTCATTCGATTCAGCAGGTCATTTTCTACTGGAAAAACGAAAATTCGCGTGAATTTTTGCCGTTTTCTGGCACTTTCGGCCGTCCGAAGATGGCTCGGTGACTATATCGTATGGAATTCTTAGGTGGGAAAATGAAAATTTTTATTTGGCCTATTAAAAATCTGAAAAAATTCACATAGACTAATTCGATATCGAAATGAACGAATCTGTGGTGAAAATCGGGAAATTTCGAGAAATGGAGACGTAGTAGTCTACCGGAATGCTTCTATTGGCAGAAAAAGCGAAAAGCTGACTTTGAGCGCCGATATCTCAAAAACTATCTGTCCTACGGGGCTGATTATAGTCTCATTCGATTCAGCAGGTCATTTTCCATTTGAATAGCAAAAATTCACGCGAATTTCTGCCGTTTTCTGGCACTTTCGGCCGTCCGAAGATGGCTCGGTGACTATATCGTATGGAAGTCTTAGGTGGGAAAATGAAAATTTGTATTTGGCCTATTAAAAATCTGAACAAAATCACATAGACTAATTCGATAACGAAATGAACGAATCTGTGGTGGAAATCGGGAAATTTTGAAAAATGGAGACGTAGTAGTCTACCGGAATGCTCCTATTGGCAAAAAATCGAAAAGCTGACTTTGAGCGCCGATATCTCAAAAACTATCTGTCCTACGGGGCTGATTATAGTCTCATTCGATTCAGCAGGTCATTTTCTACTGGAAAAACGAAAATTCGCGTGAATTTTTGCCGTTTTCTGGCACTTTCGGCCGTCCGAAGATGGCTCGGTGACTATATCGTATGGAAGTCTTAGGTGGGAAAATGAAAATTTTTATTTGGCCTATTAAAAATCTGAAAAAATTCACATAGACTAATTCAATATCGAAATGAACGAATCTGTGGTGAAAATCGGGAAATTTTGAAAAATGGAGACGAAGTAGTCTACCGGAATGCTCCTATTGGCAAAAAAAAAGCGAAAAGCTGACTCTGAGCGCCGATATCTCAGAAACTAAGTGTCCTACGGGGTTGATTATGGCCTCATTCGATTCAGCAGGTCATTTTCTACTGGAAAACGGAAATTCGCGTAAATTTTTGCCGTTTTCTGGCACTTTCGGCCGTCCGAAGATGGCTCGGTGACTATATCATATGGAAGTCTTAGGTGGGAAAATGAAAATTTTTATTTGGCCTATTAAAAATCTGAAAAAATTCACATAGACTAATTCGATATCGAAATGGACGAATCTGTGGTGGAAATCGGGAAATTTTAAAAAATGGAGGAGAGGAAGAGAACCATTCCTATGATTTCTGGGCATCTCCAATGATTTCATAGCATGATTTCATCTTGGATCTCATCGACTTATCGATTGTAATGTCTTCTGATTTTCTGAACTATTTTTTTTATCGCTTGAAGCGCACGAAAGGGAATCCCTATAATGTTCAATGAACATCGTGCGTTCCTATGATTTCTGGGTATCTCCAGTGATTTCATGGCATGATTTCATTTTGGATTTTATCGAGCTATCAATTAATTTTCTGAAATTTCTAACACGTTCCCTAATTTCGCGGTAATTTCTTTGTACTACCTATTGATCTTATAGAATGTCTTCTATCCATTGGATTCTCAGTGATTGATGAAATTTTCTGCAATTTTACATAATTTCCTGGTTTCAACAATGATTTTGTAGTATGATTTCATCGATCTATCTGTCAATTTCCTGGCGTGTTCGATTGCCTATTGATTCTTTCTGATTTACTGATGCAATTTCATATTAATTTCTTTAAATTCACTATGGTTTTCCCCTATTTCTCATGTAGTCCTGGCATCAACAATGATTTTCTAGTATGATTTCATCGACCTGACAGGTTTCTGATTTCTTCGTATTACTACTTGTTTTCTTGTAATTTCTCCTGATTTTTTTAACTATCTAATGATTCTTCCTGATTTACTGATGCAATCTTATATTTCACCTTGTTTATTTTTTATTTCCCATATTTTCCTTGTATCACCAATGAGTTTGTTGAATGATTTCATCGACCCATCTATTGAATTCCTCGCTTGTTTCTGATTTCTTCGTCCTACCTATTTGATTTTTCCAGATTTTTTTATGTATCTATTGATTCTCCTTCCTGATTCACTAATTTAATCTAAATTTCCCAAAATGTACCATGGTTTTCTCGAATTTCCCTGTATTGACCAATATTTTCCTGCTATCCATTGCAGGATTTCCCTGGACTTTTCATAACTTTCATATCCATTAATTTACTGAAATTGTTTCGGAAAGTTGAAAATTCTGAGACGAAAGAATAGCAATGTTGCCACATCTTACTGATCGAATAGAATTGAATAGTTCGGTGTCGGCATTCCAGGGACTGTTTTATGCACAGGGTGATTTGATTCCAGTGGTCCAACAATTCTATCAAACGGAGGTGAACAACGAGTACGTCATCCGTGGAAACGCGGCCGTGTTGAAATGTTCCATACCGTCATTCGTCGCTGATTTCGTCTTGGTGGTGGAGTGGAGCGATAGCGAAGGCAACCGATTCGTCCCGAACTCTCACGACTACGGTACACTAACGCCTCGAATTCAAGAGAATGATTTATTTTTCTCTTCCTATCGTTTTGTTTTGTTTGTCGCCATCTTTGGAGTTGAGTTCGAAGAAAATTTGATGCTTTCCACGGATGGTGTCTCTAGAAAACCTCGAGCAAACAGGAGTTCCTTATGTCCATGAACGGTTCATTTTTTACTATTGCGGTGGATAATAAAATAAAGAGATTGTAATTGTAGCCAGGGTTGGCATGAATTAATTCATATGAATTAAATCATTGATTTAATTCGTGAATTAATTCCATTGACTTTTTTCGAAAAAGTCACGAATTCATTGAAATTTTTAAAAATGTGACGAATTGCACTATTACCTTTGATTTTAACTAGTTTAAACTGAAAAATTCGATCGTATTTTGGCAAGACTTTGTTATTTCAAGCACGACAGAGACTTTCACTAACAGATATATACAGTATCAAGTATCATCCATAAAGTCCATAACATATGAGAACAGGTCACAGCATTATGCATTCATCCGATAACTTGAAAATCGATTTTGACACATGTCACGTGATCACTGGTATGGTGATAAATAAAAATAATACTATAACGCGACGAAAAGTGGGGTTAGATAACAAAATATCCATAAACATTTCTTATTAGGTTGCTATTACACATTCAGTTTCGAGCAATTTTTGGAGGAGAATTGGAAATAGCTATATTTTTTCGAATATTCTTCAATTTTGTTACAATTCTCTTTTTTTTTTCTGACAGTCGTGATGTTGATGATGTACATACAAGTTGAATAGAATTCAATTTCATGCTCACATATGGAGTTTCCAGCCATTATTTGAGAAAACTGAAAATAGCTATTTTTATTTATTTAAATAACTTCATCTTCCCATCTAACCTCACTTTTTGCCATCGTAATTTTTTGAATTTACCGCCATACCAGTGATCAAGTGACATGGGTCAAAATCGACTTTTGAGTAGTCAGACATGCATAATAGATCCCCGAGAAAAAATGTTTCGATATTCTACTAATAAACTTTTTCTCCATGTGTTACGAACTTTATGGATGATACTGGATCTATATGTAGCTATTATTTTGAATGCTATCATCACTTTTAATTTTGTTTTCAAAAAATGACATGTTATATCATGATGTTATTCTACAAGATTTCTGAAGGGAATAAAAACATAGTTTTTTTGTTTCTCTTTTTCTATTTCGCTTTGGGTAAATGAAATTTGTTTGTTTTTTTTTTCAAATGAATTAATTCAAAAAAGTCTGACTTAATTCAAAAAGTCGGACTTTGATGACTTTTTTTATAAAAGTCATGACTTATTCCAACCCTGATTGTAGCTAAGTTTATTGATTATACAGGGTGATTCAGGTTTCAAGGCACAAACTGAAATGGAAGATAAATCTCATCATTTTAATCAAAAGAGTTTATATAAACATTAGTCCGATCTCGTTCAATAGCGAAGCTACAGGGGACCAAAGCTTAATTATTTTTTTCCATTGATTGAGATATCTCGCTTACTTTTCAAGATATTATTTTAAAATTAGGGGTGGTCAATACTTCCTAGAAGATCATCATTTCAAGCCACCTAGAGATTTTCAAAATCTACAGGATGATACGTTTTTGGGGGGAGAGGCTTCCTTATTCCCCCCAAACTTTTCCGTAGTACGCCTCTGGCATCTTTCAGTGATCAAATTGTGTGGATCGTTCAATTCAGAAGCTTTTTTTGATCTTCAATTTTTTTCGAGAAACGAACCGTTTTTGAGATAAATAAGCATATACGTTCTAAAACATGTTAATTTTGCCTATGTTTCGCTTAAATTTTATTCATCTGAATAAAAAACCTTGACTCTACCCTTGGTATCCCCGTTACTGATCCAGATTGGACTCGTGATTGCAAATTTAGTGAGTACATTTCATTGCACTTTCAACGAAAATAGAATGTTAACGAAACATGTTTTAGAACGTATATTATGCTCATTTATCTCAAAAACTGTTCTTTTCTCGAAAAAAATGAGAGAGCAAAAAAGCCTCTAAATTGAACGATCCACACAATCTGATCACTGAAAGATGCCAGAGGCGTACTACGAAAAAGTTTGGGGGGATAAAGAAGTCTCGACCCCCAAAAATGTATCACCCTGTAGATTTTAAAAATCTTTAAATGGCTTGAAATGATGATCTTCTAGAAAGTATTGACCACACCAAATTTCAAAGCGATAGCTTGAAAGGTAAGCAAGATATTTCAATTAATAGAAAAAATAATTTAACTTTGACCCCTTGTAGCTCCGCTACTGAACGAGATCAGATTAATGTTTATATAAAATTATCTATCCCCCATCTCAGTTTGTGCCTTAAAACCTGAATCACCCTGTATAAGTAATCATGCAGTGAAGGAAGACTTCGGACGCAAATCTGATATCATTTCAAACTAAAATAAATAAAAAATGAACAATTATTCGCTATATTTTATCCTGATTTTGAATCAGTCACAATTTCTGTTTTCCTTTTCTTTTATTCTGATTTGATTTAATGCTTTGTTTATTACAATCAACTTATCGCATTTATAATAATTCAATAATTGACTAAACCTAACCTAACCCAACCTGAATAATAAGTAATAAACATGAATTATACTATTTCTCAATCACAAGTGCCTTTCTTTAGGGCTATGACACAAAATTGCTCTTGTTTTACTGTGTTCGATAGATCAATTAGGTACAGGGTGATTCACCATAAATGTCCCCCCGTCTAGCTCACTTATTTTTGAACCGATTTGAAAAATCATCTGAAATGATTTTCCATACTATTTTTTTCCGTTGCATCAGAAAATAGAGGGTGCTCGGAACAAACGATCTACAGAGTACTGCTTGATTTTTTCAAATGGAACACCCTGTATTTCATTGTATTTTCAGATCATTCCTAAAGAGCTGATTCCATCAATATTTCAGTTGGGGTCTATCGTGAATGATTACAGAGATATAGGGTGTTCAAAATCGAGATTTTTCAACGTAAGTATTTTTTGTGTCGAAACTATTCATTATTGGTCAAAACGGCTTCAATGTCCCTATCTCAACTTCTGATTTACTATCTACTGACATTGAATTGAAACATATACAGGGTGGGCCACCAGTAACGCCTCGGTCTCTAGAAGGCTAACCACTTATCTTCTTGGAATTCTTCCTCTCTAGGAAGTTGCATGTCAACGTAGGCTACCATTTGAAATTATTTTGAAACATACAGGGTGTGCCCAAAAACCATAAAACACTGAAGTTGAACTTTTTTCAATCGAACACCCTATATATTATTTCATTTTGAGATTCTCCCTGATGAGCTGATTTCAACGACCCATCATACTTGGGGTCTAGCAGTTATAATTACTGAAATATAGGGTGTGAAAAATCGAGATTTTCCAAGTTCAAGAATTTTTTGTGTATAAACCATTCATAATTGATCAAAACGGCTCACATGTCCCTATCTCAACTTTTGATCAACTATCTACTGACATTTAATTGAAACAAATACAGGGTGGTGCAGAATTCAGAATCTTGATCACCCGGTATATGTCCCAATTAAATAACAGTAGATAGTTAATCAAAAGTTGAGATAGGGACATGTAAGCCATTCTGACCAATTATGAATAGTTTCGACACAAAAAAATCTTGAACTTGGAAAATCTCGATTTTTCACACCCTATATTTCAGTAATTATAACTGCTAGACCCCAAGTATGATGGGTCGTTGAAATCAGCTCATCAGGGAGAATCTCAAAATGAAATAATATATAGGGTGTTCGATAGAAAAAAGTTTAACTTCAGTGTTTTATGGTTTTTGGGGACACCCTGTATGTTTCGAAATAATTTTAAATGGTAGCCTATGTTGACATGCAACTTCCTAGAGAGGAAGAATTCCAAGAAGATAAGTGGTTAGCCTTCTAGAGACCGAGGCGTTACTGGTGGCCCACTCTGTACAGTGTGGTTCAAGATTCCGAATTCTGATCACCCTGTAAATCCTAAAGTTGAAAAATCTCGATTTTGAACACCCTATATCTCTGTAATCATTTTCGCTAGACCCCAAGTGTGATACATTGATGAAATCAGCTTTTCAGGGAGAATCTGAAAATACAATGAAAAATAGGGTGTTTCATTAAAAAAAATCAAATAGTACCCTGTAGATCGTTTGTTCGGAGCACCTTGTATTTTCTGATGTAGCGGGAAAAAACTCTATCGGGAATCATTTTAGATCATATTTAAAATTTTGCAATCGGTTCAAAAATAACTGAACTAGAGGGGGGGACATTCATGATGAATCACCCTGTACTTTGTATTTCGTCATTTCCGTTTCTGATATGACAATGACTAACTTCATTGTGTTATTATATCACAAAATCTAATTTTTCATGAAATGTCAAATTTCAAGCAATGTCACCTCTGTCTAATAGATGATCATTACTTGGAAGAAAATTAGATGGATACAAGCCGAAGAAATAAAAAATTTCGCTGTTATCTGCTACAGCCGTGGAAAAAGTATAGTGTATAACTCGCACGGAATGCTAATTTCGCACTCGTGCTCGTTAAACAATTTAAAATATCTCAATTACAATAAAATAATCGAAAATAATGTAAGTAATCAACTGAATTATTCATATTGAAAAGGAATATTCTCAGATATATTATAAACATGAAAAAATGGATACATTTGAATAAATACATTGAGAATTCGCATTCTCTATGTGATGAAATTATTAATTCTTTCTCGGCATATTCAACAGAAAACAACTACTTTCCTGGCTATATGCCACGACGAACATTGAATTATATCAATTGAACATACACGATAGACCTTCAATCGCAGATTCGTGATTGGGTTTTTTTTTCTCAATTCAGAATTTCTTTCCACGCCCTGTATGATAAATGTCAGTTTGTCATACATCTAAAACAATGAATTATTCATGTTTCCTTGATCAATCTGAACTACTGTTGTTCGATTATAGTTATCTAAAT